TAGTGTGTGTGTGTGTGTGTGTGTGTGTGTGTGTGTGTGTGTGTGTGTGTGTGTGAGAGAGAGTGTGAAATATCTGATTGGTGATTTTTTTTTTCTTTTAGGTGCCTGAATACTACAAAATAATAAAGAAGCCTATGGACTTGTCAACAATCAAAAAAAGACTGCAAGTGAACCATCCACTGTATATGAAACCAGAAGATTTTGTGGCTGATTTCAGACTGATTTTCCAAAATTGTGCTGAGTTTAATGAGGTCAGAAAAGTAAAACCATATAGTTTTACAAGCTTACATATTTCCAAGAAAGCAGAATTTGTGACAGGTGGTAGAATTTCTTGATGCAAATGATATAACAACTTTGTGAATTAATCTTGCTTTGGTTATGAGACTTATTCAATGAAGTTATAGATTTCACTTGAAATTACTTTTGTATTAGATTAGTATGTAGTAGAGACAGTTCCATAGAAGGAAGACGGGAAAGAAAGCAGTAGCAAACAGTTTGGTTTAATTGTTATTATATCAGGATTAAATATGCTTTAATTCTTCTCTGAGTAGATGCTGATGTGTATTCTAATTAGGTGTGTGCGTGCCCCACGCTCCAGAGCCTTTTCCCTAGCAGTACCCATAGAGGAGTGGCATTCCTGCCTGCAGCTCCTCCCCTGGATACATGAGGTGGCAGCGCCCCAAACCCACTTGGTTCCTTCATACTGCCCATTTGCTGGAGTTGGAGCTCTATGCAGTTATTGCTTCACAACCTCACAAGTTTATATCTTAGCCTAGTTTGTTGTATATAGCTATCCTCCCTTCTTTGTCTCAAAATGGCTTGCTTGCTGCTCTGGTTCTTCAAGACACCTACTTCCACGTGGCCATTCTACCGAGTCACAGGAAGTATCTTTGCTTCATGGTAAGAGACTGCCACTTTCAATACATGATTCTCCCATTTGGCCTCTCTTCTGCCCCCTGAATCTTCACCAAATGCATGGTGGTAGTCATGGCATATCTGAGGAGGAAGAAATCCATATCTTCCCTTACCTCGATGATTGGTTACTGCAGGCTCCAGAGAGGAGGTTCTTGCCCAAGTTGACACCACGCTACACTTCCTTGACTGTTTGGAACTCATTCTAAACATCATAAAGTCAACTTTGGCCCCCACTCAGCAAATAGAGTTCACTGGGGCCCTGTTAGATTCCACGAAGTCGAGGGCGTTCCTGCTGAGCAACCACTTCCAGATGATTCTACAGCTGTGCCTCAGTTTGCAATCACAGCTGTCAACAACAGTCCACGTGTGCCTGAGCCTATTGGGTCACATGGGAAGAGGGAGCTGGACCCTCCCCCCCCCAACAGCACCCAAGTGGTCCATCTTGCCCAGTTACGCCTTTGTCTTCTTCAGATGGGGCTCAGGACAGTTTACAGCCCTGCTCTGTATTCACTAAACAGGTTGGTTCACCTTCTTTCATCAGTCCTGGAGTCCTTGCACTGGTGGGAGTCCCCATGCAGTGTGTGCCAGCGGGTCCCCTTCACTCGGCCCTCTCCCACCAAATCAGTGGTTACCATCACATCCCTTCTGGTTTGGGGAGCACATCTGCACTCACTGGAGGTGCATGGTCTGTGGTTGGAACAGGAGACCTTGCTTCCTATCAACGTGTTGGAGCTTTGGGCCATCCACAACACGTTGTGCCTTCTGGGACCGAATCAGGCATTCAGTGGTTCACATACTCACAGATAATATTACCATGATGTGCTATGTGAACAAACAAGGGGGAGCCCACAACAGAGCACTCTGCCTGGAGGCAATCAACCTGTTGTTGTTCTGTATCAGATGATACCACCCCAGTAGCTATCCACTTACCAGGGGTCTAGAACCATCTCATGGATCATCTCAGCTGGGTTTTCTCCCTGAGCCATGAGTGGTCCCTGAAGACTGAAATCTTTAAGATGGCGTTCGCAACATGGGGCGTCCCCACGATCGACCTCTGTGAGAAAGGAAAACGAGAAATGTTGCCTATTTTGCTCTCTGGAGGGGCTCAGCCCGGGCTCCCTCTCCAATGCTTTCCACTGCAGTTGGAAGTCAACTCCGCTGTACACCATCCTTCCCTAGGTCGTGGCCAAACTCAAGGCAGATTGAGCCAGACTTGTCCTCATTGCCTCAGAGTAGCTGAGGTAGCACTGGTTCTCTGATCTCCTCGCTCACACAGGACCATGGCCGCATCCAGCGACCAACTCCCTGCACCTCAAGGTGTGGTTCCTGCATGGCTGAACGAGGAGGAAGTGTTTTGCTCGGAGGCTGTCCAATAGATCCTACTTAACAGTAGGAAGCCTTCCACTAGAACAGCCTACTTGTCAAAGAGGAAGAGGTTTTCTGTGTGGTCCTTGGCTCGTGTGACCCACTGGGCAGAGGCTTCCATCTAGGACATCGTGGAGTACCTTTTGCATCTTCAGGAATTGGACCTAGCACTCAGTTGTCTGAGAATGTACTTGGAAGCAATATCTGCATTTCATCTTGCCTGTCCATTATTTTCTCCAATGCCATGGTGATGAGATTTCTGAAAGGAATACTCCACCTGCCCCTTGTGGGTCCTGAACATGGTTTTAGTGGGTCAGATGGGGCCTCCATGTAAGCCTCTTGCTTCCTGCCTCGTGTCCCAGAAAACTGCATTCTTGATAGCCATTACCTGTGCCAGGAAGTGAGAAAGTTGCAGGCCCTGATGGCTGGTCCTCCTTACACACAGTTTTCCAGGAACAAGATTATGCTTTGGCCATATCTGAAGTTTTGTATCCAAGTTGGTCTCAGTTTCACTTGAACCAGGCAGTGTATTTGCCTGTATTTTTCCCCAAGCTGCATTCCTCCCCAGAAGAGCAATGCCTCCATACACTAGACGTTAGACACTGTCTAGCCTTCTGTCTGAACAAGACGGAACAGTTTTGTGCTTCGCCTTGCCCTGTTCATATCATATGCGGACCATATGAAGGGTCAAGCGGTCTTTGTGCAGACCATCTCTAGATCGATAATATCTTGCTTCAATACTGCATACGAGATAGCATCCGTTACACCCCCTCAGTAGATTTGGGCGCATCTGACGAGAGCACAGGCGACTTTGGTGGCATTCTTCAATGACATTTCAATATTGGACATTTGTAGGGTGGTCACAGGGTTGTCTGTGCATACTTTTGACAGATCATTATGCTATCGCTGCTTCTTCCAGAGCAGACACTAATGTCAGAAGAGTAGTCCTGCAATCCTTGCTCAGGTGGACGCTAAGCCCCCCCTCCAGATGGGGTTCGCTAGTCATCTACTTGGAATACATGTCTGCATCTACTCAAAGAAGACTAAACGATTACTTGCGGTAACTGTGGTTCTTCTAGATATGATGCAGACGTGTATACCACAATCTACCCACCGTCGCCTCTGCATCAGTCTTCCCCCGAACATTCTATGCAAAGGAACTGAGGGGGGGCTGGTCTTTGTCGCTTCATATAGCCAAGGGAGGGGCTACAAGCACAAAGCATGAGCGCCACTCCTCTACGGGTGCCGCTAGGCAAAAGTCTCTGGCTCCAGCATGTGCACAAACCTACTTGGAATACACATCTGCGTCACATCTCAAAGTGCAGTTACAGTCAGTAACCATTTCTTCTATGGAAATGGATAGGAGCAGATTTAATATGGCTTCTGTCTGTTTGGTGAAAGGCACAATCCACACCAGTTACTTAAGCTTAATTAGTTGAAAACTTTAAGAAAATTTTAGGACACTGTATTACTACCTTAACTAAGTATAGAGCATAAATAAAGCAGATTAGAGCAGGATACAGCAGGGATCAGTTACCCAGTCCTGTGGCACAGGTAATCTGTTTCTGTTCTCATCAGAGCCATTCTGGTCCAATCTGGTAGGGGTCCTGCATTGCTCCACATGTCCTTTATACCTTGTCTCATAACATTACAGGCACCAATTATTTAAAATTCCTTATCTGTAAACATTCTATTCTAAACACTTTCATATGCGCACCATCCTAACTCTAGTACATCTTTTACTTATCCTTCAAAAACTCTAATTGGTATCTCTTGTCTTTTTAACCATTGCTACCGTACTCCTTACTCAATCTAGCTGTCTTTTCATTGCTTTCATGTGTCTTATTCTTATCTTCATCTTGTGACCTTGGACTTCACTAGTTCTGTCTAGTTAGTATCCATCCTCCCTAGTCCAAGATCTTCACCTGGCTAGTAAATCTCACACCTTGTCTGGTTTGCTTTGCCCTGTTATCTACATGAACCAAGAATCCACTGTAGATAAGAGACAAACCAGCTTTCTGATTTTTTACAACCTTGAAAGTTGTTTTAGCAGAGTTTTGAGAGCTGTCATCTTGACACACACAGAAAACAGAAAAAATCCTTTTTTCATTTCTTAAAAGATTATTATGCACACTTATCTAACAGTTATATATTTCTTTATATCTCTCTCTCTCCACCTGTCTTAGACTCACTGCCTTCTGCCTCCTATCTGCAGAATAATATCCTTCCCACTGCCCTTCCTCCCTTCCCTGACCCCTCAATGAGTAGTGAGCCTTTCATTCCCCACCCTCCTTGTCCTGCCCTTCAGTCAACCTCTTAAGTACACTGTGGCTTCTGACTGCTATACCAAGATCTCCTTGGCCACTGCTGGCTTTCTTAGCCATCTGCTGATTCCTCATTTGAAGTGAGGGGTGAAACTCTGGGGAAGGGACAAATGTCCCATGTAGGGCAGGAAGGAAGGGTAGTTCC